CAGCCACAGCTTCTCTGGGCACCCTGTGCCAGCGCCTCAGCACCCTCACAGTAAAAGAATAAAATACAACTCTGTCTCCAGCGTTCATCCATCACTGCACTATTGCCCCCCACCTGCAAGTCCCATGGTGCCAGCCCTACCTCTCTGCTGGTGACATTCCTGCACTGTCACTCCAGGTCTCCTCCTGTGCTGTGCCCTGCTCCCAGACCACCTTCCCAGGGACAGTCCTTGTTGGACCAAGATCCCTGAAAGACAATGACCTGGCTATTTATTGGGCCTGACTGTCTTCTGCACAACCTGGCCTTGAACACTTTGAGGGATGGGGCAGCCACAGCTCTGGGCAACCTATGCCAGCACCTCAGGACCCTCACAGTAAAGAACTTCTTCCTAATATGTAATACAAATCTCCCCCCTATCAGTTTAAATCATTCCCCCTTATCCTATTGCTACATGCCCTTGTTGAAAGCCCCTCTCCAGATTTCTTGTTGGCCCCTTTAGGTACTGAAAGGCTGCTCTAAGGTGTCCTCTTCAGGAGCCTTCTCTTCTCCAGCTGCCCCAGCCCAGCTCTCTCAGCCTGGCTCCAGAGCAGAGCTGCTCCAGCCCTCGCAGCAGCTCCGTGGCCTCCTCTGGCCTCGCTCCAGCAGCTCCACGTCCCTCTTGTGCTGTTGCCCCAGAGCTGGATCAGGGCTGCAGGGGGGGTCTCCCCAGAGCGCAGCAGAGGGGGAGAATCCTCTCCCTCAACCTGCTGCTCATGCTCTGGGGGTGCAGCCCAGCACATGGCAGGGTTCTGGGCTGCAAGTGCACGCTGCTGGGTCATGGGGAGCTTCTTGTCAACCAACACCCCCAGAAGTCTTTCTTCTCAGGGCTGCTCTGAAGCCATTATCAGCCCAACCTGTGTTTGTGTCTGGGATTTCCCCAACCCAGGCCTTGCACTATTAATTATTGCACTTACATTGTTCTTGAATCATGCTGCTAGATGAGTTTCCTGATGCAGCTCACTGTGTTTCCACAAACAGCTGAGGTGGCACAATTGAGTGGGTGAGGTCTTGAGGCTCTGGGGCAGAAATGAACAGCAGGAGGCAATGGAAACAGCTTGTGTCAGGGTTGTTGCCAGCTATTTTTCTTCATCCTCCAACCATGACCTCAAAGTAGTATGCTTTTCCACTGAACAATCATATCCTGTCCACAAAACCAGATGTTTTCCCTCATCATTTGTTAAAATGACTTCTAGTGTAGGTCTCTGAATGGGTACTGGCTCTGCTTGAGACTGGGGAAGATCCAGCTAGCTTGCTGATACAATGGTTTGCTAGGCAGACTGGAATAAGTTGGACTTGTATTTTTGTGTCGCTTCAGCAACCCATGAACTGTTCTGTTCTCACACCTTTCAAGTAAAGGAGGCTTCAGGCATAGTTTATGAAGTAGAAACACGAATGCCCCTGAAAGTGGTGGTGGGGAAGCAAAGATAGTCATGAGAGAGGTTTGTTTAAGATTTCCAGTGTAGGAAAAAGGTCTGGGAATGAGCTTAAATATGTAGGACAAGATACTTGATTAACTGTGCATAAAGTTCTGTGGCATAGCTCTGCTGCACGCAGGTGTGTCAGAGGAGAGGTTCTGGTATAATCTGTCTACCATATAATTTTAAAAGTGTGGTTTTAAAAAAAAAGACACTAAAAGAAAAAGCTGAGCCACTAATGTCTATGTGACTTCCTGGTAAGTTGGCAAACTCCATGAAGAGGCACTATTTTTCCAAGAATAAGTGATTCCTGTGGTGTTAAAGTTTGCAAAGTGTCAGCAAATAGGCCTCAAGTATCTATTTACAACCTTGAAACCTCCTTAAAGCAGTAATTGACCAAGGTACAGTACTCATTTGTGGTAAGTGCACAGGAACTGACTTTATATAAAAGTGACTGATATGTTAATGCTCAGTTCTGATGAAGCAGTTCTCATTGGTAGAGTTGAAATCTTTCACGAAAGGTAGCGATGTGTTACACCCATTTTGTATGTGGGGAAAATGGAATGTCAGGAAGGTAAAGCCCTGCTCATAATTATCCATCCAGTTGTAGCTAAACCTCCTAAATACCAGTCAGACCAATAGCCAGCACTGCCTTTCATAACAAGTCTTATAGAGATGGCAGGTTATATGTTGGAAGCAGGAGTTCAAACTTGTTGTACAGTTGGTGCCCTGTTGAGTCCACAGTGGCATCTGTGGACTTGAAGAATAAAAGAACTATTATTAAGCCACTACTTCTTAGCTGCAAAATATAGTTGTCTAAGTACCCTACGCGTTGCCTCTTCCTGTGGAGTGAAACCTGGCTGTGGGTGTTGCAGTGTGAAGCAGCAGTGACAAATAAGCAGTAGCACATGGGGGATTTAATGCATGGCTGTTGTTGTGCTCATTTTGCAGGTGGGAGAAGGATGGCCAGGTGAGCAGGGAGCTCTGGGAAAAGGCTGGGCAGCAGGGTTTGCTGGGTGTTGCTATTGCTGAAAAGCATGGAGGCATCGGAGCAGATATCCTCTCTTCAGCCGTGGTCTGGGAGGAGCAGTGAGTACCACACGCTTCGGGAAGGATTTCAGTGATATTATCAAGAGACTATTATTTTTCCATGAGGTGCCATCATTATGGAGTATGTTTGCTTACAGAAAATAGTGTTATCTTCCTCATGGGAAGAATAGTTTAGACCTTCTTGGTTTAAGTATTGCGGATGATTGTTTTAAGTAACAAATGTCATTGTGCTCCACTGTTAGGGCTTTGTGGCAGGGGGAAGGTTTTTTGTTAGTCTGGTAAGTTATATACCCATTTGGCTGTGAAAGTACATTCTATAAATAACAGTGCAAGTGCCACAGCTCAGATTGTCTGAGACTTCTGAGTGGTGGGGCTTTCTTCATTGTTGGGTCTATGTTGTAACAGTGTAAAGCTCAGTGTTTAATCTTTGTAGTACTTTTTTCTGAACTTCTTTTCTCCCCATACTCCCCAAGGATGTATGTTAACTGTACTGGCCCAGGATTCAGCCTTCATTCAGATATAGTCATGCCCTACATTGCGAACTATGGCTCTGAAGAACAGATTAAACACTTTATCCCCAAAATGGTCGCAGGCAAATGTATTGGAGCTATTGCCATGACAGAACCTGGGGCTGGCAGGTAAGCTGAATATTAAAACATTATGTGCTGTCTATTGACTTGGTTATATGGTCATTTTAGTTACTAGACAATATCCTAGGTTAGGTAGGACCTCAAAAACTCTGTTATACTTTACAGCTTTGTCATTTTCAAGATACTTGGTCAGAATCCATTTCTACTTAATCCCACTGTGGGCAAATGTGCTTTGTGTTTGCTTTTATAGTCTGAGTTTATAGTTACTAACTTGCTTCTCATGTGAACATAATTTTAATATGCAAGGTAGTCAGGAGAAAACTACATACCTCAGTAAAGAGGGCTTGACTTTTACTATTATCTTTTGTTGTGGAACAGAACACCTTGTTTTCTCTTCTCTGAATCCTTTCAAACAGAGAAGTGTCCCTCCTTGCCCATCATTACTGAAGGGCAGACAGCACAAGTCTGGAGTAGACACAGCTGATCTGGCCAATTCCTGAAACAGAGAGGAACAGGTGAAAAGCAAAACTCGTTGGTGTCATGCTTCTACAAATGGTAGATGTTGCCAGTGGCTTTTTACAGAACCTCCTGATCAGGGTTGAGCCTGCTTAGAAGATGTGGTTTTGTCTGGTGCTTATCATTTAAGGCATACTGGTGTAAGGGATACTGACCCGTTGGTGTTAGTGCTTATGACACCACCTTCTACAAGCAGACCCGTTAAAATGGGACCTCCTGCTCTTGTACAATTGCATGGATTTATCATCCCTTTCCACAGTGTGTTTGTGGCTTCTGTGTTACACTCTAAGCTCTTTCACTGTGTTTCACTGTCTGTGTTTTCACTGAGCCTGTGCCTGGACAGTATAAAATTACTTTATATTGGGTAGAATTCGAGATGCAAATTGAAGCTTCTGCAATAGTTTCTTGAAGGACCTTTTGAATTTCATTTTAGTGACTTGCAGGGAATACGAACATATGCAAAAAAAGATGGAAATGACTGGATTCTTAATGGGAGCAAGGTAAGTGAACAGACATATGCACCTTATAGGCTTTGGGAAGTGAATGCATTTAGACACTGAAGGATATTAACCAGTATTAGTATTTCCCCGCAGTCCTTTCACTTTGGTTCTTTTTTTGTGGGTTATGCTGTGGTGGTGTTTGGTTTTTTTCCCCTGTTGCTTTTTTCCTAGGACTTGGCAGTTTACAGACCAAGTTATGGAAAGGCTTGAGTAGGTTATTTTTATAGCTTTTAAATAGCCTTATCAAAAGGCCCATTTTCTCTTAAGCTGGGAAGAAAAGGGGCAAGGGGAGAAAATAAGTCCTGCATAGAAGAAGCAGGACCAGAGCTGGTTCAACTGAGGTTGAACAACAAAACAGATAAACTATCACTGTGAAATCTTCTGTGGCCCGAGTGAAAACTTGTGTTGCCACAATGCAGGCTGTGGAATCTTTATTCAGGAGCCTGCTGGTTGTGTTAGAAAGAACGCAAGTGGGTTAGATGCTCTATGTGTGTTGTCAAGCTGTTGCAAAGCTGGCAGCATTAACCTGTACTTCACTGCCATAATAAAAAAGCAAGAAGGCAGAAACAGTGTTCAAATGGAAGTGTGGGTTCAAGAGGGTTTGTTTTAAAGCTATGAAGTGTTTTAATCTTCTTTCTCCCCACTTTCTTTTGTGCTCCTGCTGATAACATGGTACCGATAGTCACTTCTTTCCTTAGCGGCATTTCCAGTGGTGAGAATGTGTGCAAGGAAATATGTATGTATAGGTGTTCAAAAGGATATTTTCTCATGCTGTATAGTTGAGGCCAACAGGACAGATAGCTCATTTCTTTAGCTGGAGTTAAGATGGATCACTTTGGCAGGTTCATGACTCATTGTACAGGATTATAATAAGCAGTTGTGACAAGGAGCTATTGATAGTTTTGCATGTTATACATTGCTAATTTAATTTCTAGAAAAGAGATCCTCTGTATTCATTTAATCTCTACATTCAATACCATATTCCTTCTTTATCGTGGGGCAGGCAAAAGAAGCAGATCTTTGCATTTAACTCCACACTTTCCTCAAGCTAATTCATAGACCTGGTTTCAAAGCACTTAATTCTGAAAGCTTAAAAGCCTTTTGGACACTCACAGCTTGCCTTTCAACTCACCTTTGAAAGAGTCAATGCCATTTTTCTAGCTTGTTGCTTTATTCCAAGTTGCTTTTTTTACAGGTATTCATCACTAATGGTTGGATGAGTGATGTAGTGATCGTGGTTGCAGTTACCAACCGGGAGGCCCGATCTCCTGCTCATGGGATCAGCCTTTTCCTAGTGGAAAATGGAACAAAAGGTTTCATCAAAGGACGCAAGCTGAACAAAATTGGCTTGAAAGCTCAGGTGAGTTGCTACCACCCCTAACACTTAACTTGGAGGAAGTCTAAAATCACTTCATGCCTGGCATTAGCTAAATAAATATGAAACAAAACTGTGGTGCTATTCGAGTTTGTAGGCTTTAGAGCACAAATGATACACATGCAAGGTATGATGCTGGGTTTGCCTACATACGCCTGAAGCATGCAGTGTGCAAGGAAAGTGCATCCAAGAAGCATGCAGCATGCAAGGAACCTGGATTTTTTTGCTCTGAAGAAGCCTGGAAGGACAGGATCTTACTGATGTCTTCAGCTACCTAACAGTTGGCTGTAGAGATGGTGGCACCAGATTCTTCTCAGAGGAGCATAGTGAGAGTGGCAGGGGACACAAGTTACATTAAGGGAAATTCTAAGTAAGTATTAAGAAAAAATAATTCACCATACAAGTGATCATATAGTGGAACAAGGGGCCAGAGAGGCTGTGGAGCCTTCATCTTTGGAGCTTTGGAAAGAGGTGGACAAGGCCCTCAGCTGCTTGCTTAGTTGGAGCTGCTTTCAGTAGGAGAGAAACTAGGTGACCTTTGGAGGACTGTTCCAACCCAAATGGTTCTATGATTTCAAGTTAGAGTGTACAATAGCAAGAAAAAAATGGGGCAAAGGAAGTGCAATGAAGAGATGAGAATGTTGGGCTCTAAACTGTTGTGTTTAAAATCCTCTTAGGACACAGCAGAGCTGTTTTTTGAAGATGTGCGGTTGCCAGCCAGTGCCTTGCTTGGAAAAGAGAACAAAGGCTTCTATTACCTGATGGCAGAGCTCCCTCAGGTAAGAGGAACTGAGTGTTTGTTGTCTGTAGGAAGAATACAGGATGATTTTTGTCGTCATTAGAATCTGCCTTAGCTTGAGGATTATGTATCGTGGGGAGCCACCTTGGGCTCAGAATTGGGATGTCTGTAGGCAACATTGTGTTGGTAACTGCTGCTTCTTAGCTGGAGCATACAGTTCAATTCTTTGGGCATTGGTAAAATTGTTGATAGCCCATCAGCCCAGCACAATCTCTTAATGAACACCCCAGCTATTGAAGAAGCTGAAGGTAATGTATTTAAAAGAACATACCGCAGTTTTCCTGTATAATTCTAGCATGAAACCACTTTGCTTAGGAAATTAAGTACAGCTTGGAGGTGCATGATGCATTTGGTATTGTCTTTAAAGAAACAAGCAAACGCTGCTATTTTAGCTCTTACACCAGTAGAAGCACATTAAAGATATAAGGAACTCTGTCCATATAGCAAAGTAAAGAAGTTGTTTTGTTGCCAGAATACCTTGCTAGTGGAAATAACAGTTTACGACTTAGTTTATGAAGTTCTGGAATTATTGGAGAGGATAAAGAAGCAATGTGGTTTGTCAAAGCATGACTGTGCTTTGTCGAAACTATGACTTTGTACTTGCCTTATCTGGTAGGGATCACGTTTATTTAATTTTATGTTGTGAGCAAGTACAAAACCTGATCAAAGGAAATGTTTTACTGCTTTAAAGAAATGGGTGCATTCATGAACAGGTTCGATCTGATGCATTTGGTTCAATCAGATGATTTCAGAGGTGCTAGAAGCAATTGTTCTGTACTTAGTTCCTGTTTTTCAACATGTTATGAGGAGGGAAAAAACAGCCAGGGTTTTGGTTGGGTTTTTTTGGTAGGCTTTGGGGTATTTTTAAAGCTGTCGTATTGAAATTGTTGAGTACAGTTGTTCTTTAACCTGAGCAGTGAAAATAGATAATTGAAACAGAATTTGGTGTGACTTTTTCAGTCAGTGTGAGTCCTGTGGTTGTAGCTATTTTCTGAGTCATTGTTGTGATAGAATACTACCCTGGAAAAGATTTAACAGAGCTTCCGGGAGGAGACATTTGTCCCACTCATTAATTTCAGTAATGCAATGTGTCTTATTTGATACTTAGTGTGACTTCTGCCCCCCTCCCTTAATGAACAACACTGAACATCTGTGCCCCAGTTGTGCATCTGATAAGGAGAAATGTAGGTCTCATTCAACTGGATTCTGTAATTTGTGTTTCAAAAGGAAAGACTACTAATTGCTGACATGGCTCTTGCCAGTTGTGAATTCATGTTTGAAGAAACAAGGAATTATGTGAAGCAAAGAAAAGCTTTTGGGAAGACAGTCGCACACTTGCAGGTGAGTTTGAACTGAGGGACTTGTGTACGGATTCCAGCATGCATTTGCTTTCTATGTGAAACAGAGAGCAAAGGAAAATCACTGGGCTGTTTTCAAAGGACTGTTTGCAGAGGTTCCTCTGTTGGACCATGACTGTTGTTTGCTTCCATGCCCAACACCACAAAAGCCTTAATGTATGTGTTTTATGATTCAGTTACATACCTCCCAGCAATGCTGCTTTTGGAAGTGAAATATGCAGGCCAAAACAGGCTTTTTGCTGTTGGTGAAATAAAATTACCTTGTTGCTCTTAGGCTTGCGTTTTACTGTCGGAGGTCCTAACCACAGGGTCTGTTACACCTGCGTGTGTTTCTGTATCTGCCTGGGATTCTACAAACTGCAGAAGAGCTTGGTGCATGTGCAGGTGCTGCGTTCCCCTGCACACAATGCATTGCAGAAAAATGAGCCTTGAGGCTGATGCTGAGGGGTGCTCCCAGGAAGTGACCTTGCTGCCTGCATACCAAGGTGTTTGTATTCAGCTTTATGGATATTGCAGTGAGATTCCTCAGCTGGCAGCTAGCTGGGTATTCAAGTGACTGCATATGAAAGTGTTGGATCATTTTCTGTGAGCATACCTCACTCCGACAGTGGTAGTTAATTGTGTTTTGAGACACTTTTGCCTACGCTCTTCAGTTGCAGTCATAAAACAGATGTTGCTTTCTGCAGTACTGCGATGATCGAACTTTCCTGAAAACCACGTTAGCTGTTAGGGCTGGAGCAGACCAAGCTCCTGCGTGTTTGGTTTATGGGGTAGAAGTGATTCATATGGGTTGGAGGATGTTGCCTGCCTCATTTAATTTTTTTAATATAATATACTTTTTTTATATAATATACTTTTTAAATACTTAATGATTATCTTAGTCTTGAGACTTCCTTTGTCAAAACC